ACTTCTTGTTTGCTGAGCTTCTATGCTTAGGGGTGCAGCTGGGTACAGCCTGAAGCAGGGATGTGGGGACTAAGCGTGAGGCCATAAACAAATGCCCTCTGCTTCAGCCTCAGCTCCTCATCCTCTCCCAGCCCTTCCCAGGAAATCAGGAGGCAGGGACGCTACTCTCCTACAGACAAGACAACATGGCAAAGAGCCCACAAAAGTGGCAATCCCTCGGTTATTGCTACAATTTGGATGTGGACTGTCCCCACCTTTCGGAAGCTTGGTCCCCAGTGTGACAATACCGAGCCATGGTGAAACCTTTAAGAGGCAGAGCTTGCTATAAAGTAATTAGGTCACTGGGGGCACTGCCCTTGAAAAGCATTAACACCTCTCTTGGAACATTCTTTCAGGCAATAAGAACACCCAGCCATCCCCAGTGTAGCCCATATATTCATGTAGACTTCAGGGTCTACACAACACTGCCAATAGATTACCTCATTTTATCCTCAAAGAAGGTACTAGTTAAGGAAACACTAGCTGCCATGAGAATGACACTAAATGTTTTGGCTTAACAAGTAAATGTATTTTTTGCTCATTTAATAGTCCCATATAGGCATCTGGAGATAGTAGGTGACTTTTCTTTCCAGCAGTGACATCATGCAAGGATGTCACTCAGGTGTCATGCAAAGGAGCTCAGATACATGTATTACTAGTGCCACATAATCCAAATGATAAATTTATTTGAAATCTATAAGCAAAAAAGTGAGTGGATCTCTTCCTCTGGTGACCCAAAATCATTCTGCCCTCTGGCTTCACTGCTCCCTTGGGTCACAATGTCCAATATGGTAGACATTAACTACATGGGGCTCTTTAAACTTACAGATAAATAATTAAATAGATATTCAAATTCAGTTCCTCAGTTCACTAGCCATATTTCACATGTCCAATAGCTACCCATAGCTAGTGGCTACCATATTGGACAGTGCAGGAAAGACATTTCCATTATCACAGAAAGTTATTGGCTGTGACTATTCCAGGGCCTCAGTTTTCTCCCTCCAACCAACAAAAGGGAAAACAGACGGCAGAAGGGACTTTCTCTCCTTCACTGTGGTGGGCTGGAAATGGCACTGCCCATTTTGCTGACAGTTCGTCCATGCATGTTACTCACACTTCCATGTAGACTACTGGAGCTGGAACACATCCCTGGCCAGTTGACGCTTCCCGCACCTCTGTACCATGAGCAGCAGGATAAGCTTGGGTGATCAGTCAGCCATCTCAGTCAGCCTCTCCTCGTTCTAGAGAGGACTGAGGAATAGAGAAGGGAAGTGGCTGAGCCACATCACAAAGGGAACAGGGAGCCAGGCTGGAACCCAGGCCATCTAATTCCTCACGTGGAAGGCCTTTCCAGGCACAGCTCTTATGCAGGCATGGGAAACAGCCTTCAAGAGGTAACCAACATTTCTCAGCCTCACTCCACATTGACCAGGACTGAGTAAGGGAGTAAAAACTGATCCTCCACACCGGAGTGAAAGAGTCGAGTCACACTGCGTGCAAAGCAGACATTGTCAATAAAGGAGCTTTCTTAACCAAACCAACACTTATTTTCCCTGGCACATCAAGGTCACTGGCAGCTGGAAACTTAACCTCAAATTAAAACTCTAACAACAAAGAAAATGGCCAGATGTGGATAATCCCAACATCCTAAATGAATCCAAAATAAGATTTTTTAAAAATGTTTGAATTCCCTGGGCATCTCCCCTTCTCAGACCTCTAATTCCCTGGAGTTTCTCTAGGGTCATCCTACTTCTGCAGAAGCTACAGCTGACTAAGGAGAAGAAAGATGCAACAGAGCATCAGGAGAGTACAGAAGAGACCTTCACTTCTTCATGGCTGTGGTGGATTAACTAATGGTCAACTTGGAACTCCCAGCTGAACTGAGTCAGGGTGGTTTTGGGCATGGAAGCCCCACATGAGGATTGTTGCCAACGGCATAAAAGAGAAGTAGAGGGGAAGATTGTATGTTGTTGATTTTCCTGGGGAGGCTCATTTTCCTGCTGCAAACTTTGCTGTTCTCTGCGGAGGAGGAGCTCGGGGCCTCGCTTTCACTGGGAATGGCTGCTGTAAGGGGAGCATTGGTCTTCGCCTTGAGTGTCACTTCCTGGGTCCAGTGCAGATTTCTCAGCCTGGTGATACAGATCCTTCACCCCACCAGCACAGACTTTCTAGCTTCCACCACTGACTGGCCTTTGGGTCTTCCCAGTGCAGATCCTTGGTATGGACTTGCCTGAGACATTGCTGTGGGCTCTAGGCCGCTGGCTGGACTCATGGAGGACATTGCCTTGGGCTCTAAGCCATGTGCAGGACACTGCTGTGGGATCCAGATCCTTGACTGGATTCTTCGGGTCTCTAGCATGTGGACAGATCTCTCGCACTCCTCTGCATTTGACTTTTTGGGTGAATATTATAAAATAATTCTGTAAATTATGTGTCCTGTATTAAATCTATTCCTTTGAAAACTCTGACTACCACAATGGCCATGGGTGGAAGGGAGCCATCATGGGAAGCCAGTGTGCGATCACTCTGCAAAGGGCTCCTCTTATCTCTGTGGTACGGAGGCTGGCTGCTCAGGATACACTGTCCTTGCTGGGCCAGGAATTCCCATGTGACTGAGGAGGCAGAGGTGCTTGCCTGGGATTTCTTACCTTCAGTACGAAGCCACACAGCAACCTCTAGCAGGAACCACTAGGTACCTGAGAAATGTGGTGGGAACAACACACATGGAGTTCTGGTCTCCATTCTCCAGTGGGGTGACCTCGGGTGGTCATCACATGTCTCTGGGCCTCATCTTCTCCATCTAACCCCAGGTCTGATGCCCGTGGTTATGTAAGACTGAAGCACACAGATGCTTGAGAGAATACATCTCTGTCACTTCCTTAAGAACCTGTCTCCTGTCCCTGTTTCTTTTGTACCAATTACATTCTTGTTCCTCTGAGCCCAGGACACAGGGCAAGCCATTGCACACAATGAACAGCTGATTAAAGGGAAGATATGCTTGCGTCATTGGTATCTGTATTGAAATTCTGAGGAAATTTCCAGGGATCTCCCTGCTGGCAGCATGTCCCTAAAGGGATGTTGGTCCTCCCCTTATTTGATGCCTGGATAGGGCCAATTCCTTGTTCTCTAGAAGCGAATTGTGACACATTGGGTGGGTGAATAGGGTCCCTTCTAGGGACAGCTCACTCTCTCAACCTAGCTGTCAGAACTGCTTCCTATACTCTACCAGAATGAGACAAAACTTCTATGACCACCCTGCATGCATCTCCTAATCCCTGGCAGCAGTGCATATCTTGGATTGAGTAGGTCCTGAACATAAACCCATCCATACTGGCAAAGGCTGACAGCACATCACTCCCCAAAAAGCTATCACCACCTCACTCTCCTTCCCTCACTCTCTTCTCCACCTCACTTCCCTCCCTGTTTTCTCCCCACTGTACTGAGGACAGGGGAGTCTTGCTGATTCTTCTTTCCCTATCTTGGATATGTACATCTTGGCCCTCCGTCACGGTTCCATCCTCCAGTGTCAAAAGTCAGGTGGAAGCAGGCACTGTATGACGCCTGACTTTCCTCATCTTGGAATTTTGATCCTCCAAAGAGTATTAGAATGCAGTGACCAGTGAAATCCAGCAGCCAGCCTCTTGGCTGCCTTTGGCAGGGTCATTTCATTACCCGCAAAACCTCAGGCTGGAAGAAGTTCCTAGGAGTCTGAGAGCCTCCTACTAGTAGAACTATGACTAACTCACCCTGAGAAGGTCACTATGGGATCTGGGGTAGGCAGAAGGCAAATGAGATTGACTATAATACAGACATTTAATTTAAAAAATCAGTGATCCCAGTCTGATCCTTGCATATCCCTGTTTGTGGGGCCCCAAAGTCCTTCCTTCTACCTCCCTCAAGGACCCCCAAGTTTCCATTTTTCCCCCCTTCAAAACCTACCTCTTCAAGGGCCTGGGGATTTAGCTCAGTGGCAATGCGCCTGCCTTGCAAGCACAAGGTCCTGAGTTTGATCTCTGGTACCAGAAAAAAGAGGAAAAAAAAACCTACCTCTTTAAAACACAGATAACTCTCCAGTAAAAGATGCTTAATCTTATTCAGAACAAAACACATACACGTTTTTAAATCTCCATTAAGTTAGCAAAAGACCAAAACTTTAATCACCCACAGTGCTGGCAATGCTGTGGGAAACCCGGCACCCTGATTCACCAGTGACAGGAAGGGGAGAGTAAATTGATACATCAACATATATTGGACAGTACCTTTCTGGGATATCAAAAAAATAGTTTTGCTCTTTGTCTCCAGTTCCTGGCAGAGCTCCTAAAATCTTTGGTATTTCCTGACTGATGGGAGTGTCTGTTTTTCATACAACGCTCCCAGACTCAGGTTGGAGGATTCACTAGAATGACACCCAGAATCCAGGAAAGCACTTTTCTTAGTATAATTATAAAGGATATAACTCACAAACAACCAAATGAGAGGGCAAGGGATGTAGGAGTGGTTGTGCAGAGCTTCTATCCCCTCCAGGTGCCACCTGCTCAACATGAGTGTACTACACATTCAAGAACACTAAAAGCCTGCTTACTCACAGAATTCATTCCTGGGAGGAAATTTAGAGATTCCATGCCAAGCTCTTCCCACATTAAAGTTACAGATGTGAAAATGGTAGCCAGGGCACTCCCTGGTCAGCCAGGGCTGAGATCTAGTAGAGAATCACCACTAGAATCCAAGGCCCCTGGCCCCAGATCACATTCTTTTGCAGATTCCACCAGACTGCGTGGCTCCCTCGGGTAGGACACAGACAATATCTCTGAATCAGTAGTCTCTAACAGAGCACCAGGCACATGCCAACAGAAAAGTACAGCAAATTTAGTTTTGCAGAACTTAACTGTCTTTACTAGTGAGTCTAGAATCAAGTAGGACTACAGACCAAAAATGGGTCCGAATACTCTGTTCCACCACACGGGCAGGTTATATCTATAGCCAAAGAAAAGGAAGTGACATACATGAAGTGGAAGTAGGTACAGAGAGCTCCGCCGAAGCCCGGTCCCACCGCCATCCTTGCGTCCTTCCGGCTCCGTCGTGGAAGCAGCACTTCGCAGAGTCTTCGTGAGGAAGGTGCTCCGAGGGACGACCGAGTCGCCGGTGTGAGACGGGAGCTCGGAGACTCGGAGCCGCAGGACGACTGACCCGAGTGCCCACCGTGTGCCCCGCTGCCGCCCGCGCATGCCCAGCCACACAGCTGCAGCTGCGCTCGAGCTTGTCTAGCAACCGCCTGGCCGAGTGCTCACGATGCTGGGCCCTGAGGGAGGTGAAGGCTATGTGGTCAAGCTCCGTGGGCTGCCCTGGTCCTGCTCGACTGAGGACGTGCAGAACTTTCTCTCCGACTGCACGATTCGCGATGGGGTGGCAGGTGTCCATTTCATTTACACTAGAGAAGGCAGGCAGAGTGGTGAGGCTTTCGTTGAACTCGAGTCCGAAGAGGATGTCAAAACGGCCCTGAAAAAAGACAGGGAAAGCATGGGGCACCGGTACATCGAGGTGTTCAAGTCTCACAAAACCGAGATGGATTGGGTGTTGAAGCACAGCAGTCCCAACAGCACTGACACCGCCAACGACAGCTTTGTGCGGCTCTGGGGACTCTCATTTGGATGCACAAAGGGAGAGATCGTGCAGTTTTTCTCAGGGCTGGAGATCGTGCCAAATGGGATCACACTGCCTGTGGACCCCGAGGGCAAGTTCACAGGTAAAGCCTTCCTGCAGTTCGCCTCCCAGGAGCTGGCTGAGAAGGCTCTCAGGAAGCACAAAGAGAAGATCGGGCACAGGTACATCGAGGTATTCAAGAGCAGCCAGGAGGTGGTGAGGTCGTACTCAGACCCGCCCCTGAAGTTCATGTCCGTGCAACAGCCCGGTCCCTATGACCGTCCTGGCACAGCACAGAGGTACATTGGCATTGTGAAGCAGGCAGGCCTGGAGAGGATGCCCTCCGGGGCCTACAGTGCGGGTTACAGGGGCTACGAGGAGTATAGTGGCCTCAGTGATGACTACGGCTTCACCACCGACCTGATTGGGAGAGACCTCAGCTACTGTCTCTCTGGCATGTACGACCACAGATACGGAGACAGCGAGTTCACAGTGCAGAGCACCACTGGCCACTGTGTCCACATGAGGGGGCTGCCCTACAAAGCCACCGAGAACGACATCTACAACTTCTTCTCACCACTCAACGCCGTGAGAGTGCACATAGAGATCAGGCCTAATGGCAGAGTGACCGGTGAGGCTGATGTGGAGTTCGCCACCAACGAGGAAGCTATGGCAGCCATGTCTAAGGACAAGGACAGGACCAACATACAGCACCGCTACATAGAACTCTTTCTCAATTCCACCATGGGGGCCAGCAACGGGGCTCACAGCAGCCAGGTGTTGCAGGGCATGGGGGTGTCAGCCGCCCAGGCCACCTACAGCGGCCTAGAGAGCCAATGAGTGAGTGGCTGCTCTGGGGCCAGCTACAGCAGTCAGAACAGCACGGGGGCATGACTAGTTGCTTAGGGAGGTTGAAGTCCTGGATCAAATTGTCACAGGTAGCCTACATGCAGTGAGGAGCAGTTTATGACTAGAGGAAGCTGTGGGACCCATTTTGCACCATGAGTTTGTGAAATTTGGATTAAAAAATTACCTCTTCAGTGTTTTCTCATGCAAACTTTCCTTCTAGCATGTGATATGAAGTAAACTAAAACCATTTTCTTCCTTCCGCTTTTCTCGATTAACCTTTGGTAGTATACTTGGAGTGGTGTTTCCTGAGTTAAGTAGTTAAGTATGTTAAGGAAACTTCGGTCCTTGGCGCCAACCTGTGAACACCTTGGGGAGATGTACTTTTTAGATAACTCAAAGGTGCTAGATCCCTAATTCAAAGAGGAACATTTCTCATGTTTGTTCATTCTAGTTTATATTTTCACTTAAATAAATCTTTTAGGTTAAGTTTAAGCTTTTTAAAAAGAGTTAGTTTTGAGAATTGAGACACAGTACTAATACTGTAGGAATTGGTGAAGCCTTGACTTAAAGCTTTCTTTGTAATGTGATTTCCTTTTGGGTATATTTTGCTAAGTGAAACTTGTTAAAAAATTTTTGTTAGCTAAATTTTTTTCTTAAAATAAAGACTTTTTCACACACACAAAAAAAGTCACTTAAAGTTTGGCATTTGCCTTATTTAAATCTGGAATAGTTGTTTGGCCTGGCAGTTTAAATAGTTGGCTGCCTGGTGCTGTGATTGGCTGAGATTCATCTACCTGTTACAAGAGTGGGTGAGAGTCTGTTTACACAAGTTAGGTTACAGTTCACTATGTATGGAGAAACATTTAGGCCAAACTTATAATGTACACAAGCAATTTTAGGTCAAACTCAATTCAATTTAAAACCACTACATATTAATAAAGTTTTCTGAATGAATTAACACTGTGTTGTATTTCCTGTGATCTCTGAATCTCAGGCTTAATTAATGAATTAATCACAGCCTGAGAATGATGATAGTTTACATTCCCCAGCCATGATAGAGTCACATTTTTCCAGAGGCCATGAATGGTAGACTCTCTGGCACCTTCGAAGGACAGTCTAATAAGGGAAACTTTTAACACTTATCAAAACAGGCAGTTGCTTATGGCATCATTCTTGAAGAATCAGCCTGTGTATAAGCAAGAAAGGGAAAAGAGCAATGAGCAAAATATAGCCAATTTTAATGCACTTGAAGCATTCAGGTGAAAAAAATTATTTCACACAAAGTATTCAATACAATCAAGTATGTGGGCAGGAGTGCAGTGGTGATTTAGTGGGTCACACCATGCCATTCTTCCTCTTTTTACACTAAACTTATTAAATTCCAAACATTGTTGTAAGGTGCCTCACAGATCCCCATTCAAACCCTGTGATGTGAGGTTTGCTGGCACCATCCTCTGACTTACTACTACCCTGCCCAGACAGACACAGCACTCATGCCAGATAGGGCAAAACCAACAAACTGCCAGAATATAACCATGCATTATCCATAATGTGTGACAAACCAAGTTGTGTGCCTCAACAGGCGGGGAGGGTTCCCAGGGAGATAAGCTAAGTAACACAATAAACACATTGGGTAACTCACAGATTGAGTAAGACAATCACTAGTGGCTGAGCATTTGGAAAATCAACAAGATCTGGGCCTTCTGAGGGAGCCCCATTGGAGAGCTTTCAGTCATGAATTATGGGGACGTTTGGCTCCTTAGACACAGCTGGGCTGTCTGCTGCAAAGGAAGCAAGGCCTATCAAAGGTGCCAGGGGGAGAATGAGTAAGTGAGATGAATGGAGATCAAATCCCATTATAACCAATTCTATTACAAAGAAATTTTCACCTTAACAGAAATATATCCAAGCCCCAGGCATTGGTCCATAATAATCATATATGTTCAAATAATTCAGTGTGAAGCATGCTGTTCTTCATCCTTCTAGATAATAGTCTCCAGTTATAACAACGCCCGAGCACATCCCCATTCACCACACGATGAATTACTTGCAGGATGTGACAATACTTGCGTTTGTTCCAACTCTTTGACTGTGGGGGGTGATTATAAGATGCCTTACTGGAGGAAAGATGCATTACATTGGGGAAATTTAAGAAATTGGTCTTAATAAGAATTATTACTTCATCTCATCATTTCCCATCAAACTAGGTATTCAGCTCTGGTGTTACTAGAAAGATTATTTACAATGTGAGATGATCACCTCCAAATATGCAGAACAAAAAAAGTTTTGAGGTTTGTAAAGGTGTTACCTTTTTATTTGCTATAAAGTTGAGGAAATTTTTATTTACCTTTTAATTTTTACAACTTTTTCAAATGTGAGAGTTTTTTTTATAAATACAGGATTATTTCCTTTTGCTTTTTAAACTTTACATTTTTAAAGTGTATGGCACATCTTGATACACATTTAGATAGCTAAATATTTACTACAATCAAGCAAATTAACACATCCATTATCTGACTTAGTTACCCTTTTCTTGTGGATGTGGTAAGAGCATTTAAAATCTACTTTCATAGCAAAAATCCCAAATGCATAAAAATGTGTATTGTAGCTCTACTTTAAAAAAAAAAGATTGGAAACAAAACTCACGTCAATCAACAGAAGACAAAAATAGTGATACATTCTTACAAAAGAGAAGTGCATGGGTATAAAAAGTAAGGAAACAGAACTACATGTAACAATGTGGATCCACAAGGGACAGGAGAAGGGAATTTCAGTCAGATACATGCAGGCTGATACCTTGATATAAAGTTAAAAGCATGTAAAGCAATATATAAAGGACACACACACATGAATAATAAAAGTATAAAGACATTCATGGAAATGAAAACACCAAATTTAGAACACTGGTTACATCCCGGGAAAAGGTAACTGGTGGGTTTCAACTATACTTGACATTTTATTTCTTAAACAGAGTGGTTGATTGATGGTGGTCATTAAATAATCCTTTGAAATATTATAAGTATCTAAAATATTTCATTATTTAAGACAAAAAGGAGTTAGTGATCAAGACATCTTGGAATATAAAATTGCACATGTGAATTCTTGGTGCCTCTGAACGAACGTGTCTAAGTCACATTGGCACCACGGCCCCCTCTATACTTCACCTCAGTCTCTGGCCCTGCCCTGGGTGCATGTATGCCATCTCCTATTTCTTAACTCCTCATGTAGCTGACAGTCCATTGGCCCTGGTGCTAAAAGCAGCCACCGTTCTACCAAAGGCAGGAAAGTCCTTTATTGTCGCTGCATCGGCTTGCTAGTTTCTTACCTATAATTTGTTGTTATTATTATTACCATTATCATTATTACTCTCAATGTGAATTCAGAAAATAAGTCTTTAAAATGTACTTGTATGACAAAGTAATGCACAGTTATTATGTAGTATTTGAAAAATAAGTGTCAAGAACAAAATAAAAATCACCCATAATTACCATCATCCAGAGGCATTTAACAAAGATAGGCATTTAAATTATGTTAGAATCCCACTGAAATGTAATTATATATCTTTATTGTTTTCATTTGGTAAGTTTTCTTTGACAACATAATTTTATTAGCAGCATAATATTTCACATCATAAGTGAATTATTACTCATCAAGCACTTCCATATTGTAGAACATTAAGGGTTTATTTTGCTCTCTATAAAAAATGTATTTGGCATGATAAAAACAAAAATTATTTTCTATTTATATTTCAAATACTCAAATAATTACAATTAAGTTACAAATCACCAATTATTTTCTATTTATATTTCAAATATTCAAATAATTATAATTAAGTTACAAATCACCAAGCACAACAGACATACACACATTGTTCACTTAGTTTTATATATTCTTTTATTTGTTGTTGTTGTACAGGGGATAAACCCATGACCTCACACCTGCTTCACAATTGTTCTACCATTGAGCTACATCCCCAGCCCTTTGAAATTTTTTAAACTTTTTTTTCCCAGTCCTGGGGATAGAACCCAGTGTTTGAACACTGAGCCACAACCCTGGTCCTTTTTAAATTTTTTATCTTTTTTTTTTGTATTAAATTCTTTTATTGGTACATTGTAGGTATACAACACAATTACATTTCTCATTGGTAATTGTACCTTTACATAATGCATCTTGGTTCTTATTTTTTCCCCATTCCTAGCCCTCCCTTCA